GAAGAAATTCATGCGGGACCCGATCCGCATCCTGGTGAAGAAGGAGGAGTTGACCCTGGAGGGCATCCGGCAGTTCTACATCAATGTCGAAAGAGAGGTGGGGGTTGAGAGCCAGGACTCTTGGGTTCTCTTCCCACCCCAGCCGCATGGTCCTGGATTTATGGAGGGGTCCCTCCATGGCATCTCCATAGTGTACCCCATGCAAGAGCGATCAGCCCCCCGAACCATGGCCGCCCCAATGTCTCTGGGTCCTGGTCCCTGAAATGGGAGGCACACTGTAGGTCTGGGTTAGTGCTGTCTTGGGAGCAGGGGAGCTCTGAGCACTGGGGTGGAGTCTGGAGGCCCCAGTGGAGTGGGGAGCTGACTTTCCAGGGGTCCCCCACATGGGTGGGGTGGGGGCTGTCAGCCCTAGCCCTCCCCCCCACTGATCCTGTTCTCCCCCGCCCCCCCAGGAGTGGAAGCTGGACACGCTCTGTGATCTCTACGAGACCCTGACCATCACCCAAGCCGTGATCTTCATCAACACCCGCCGGAAGGTGGACTGGCTCACGGAAAAGATGCATGCCCGGGACTTCACCGTCTCTGCCATGGTACGGGGGGCAGGGAGGAGCCAGGATGCCTGGGTTCTCTGCCCCACTCTGGGAGGGGAGTGGGGGCTGGTGGGTTAGAGCAGGGGGGGACTTGGAGCCAGGACACCTGAGTCCCACCCCAGCTGCATGGCTGTGGATTTATGGTGGGGTCCCACCATGGCCCCTCCATAGTGTACTCCATGCAAGAGCAGTTGGCCCCCCTGAACCATGGCCGCCCTAGTGCCTGTGGGTCACGGTCCCTGAAATGGGGGGCACAGCTGTTTTGGGGGTCCCACAGTTGTGTGTGTGCCAGATTGAGCGCAGTGGTGGGAGTTGGGAGCCAGGACTCCTGGGTTCCGTCCCTTCCCCCTTCAGTGGCTGCCGGAAGGGGCAGGATTCTCCAGGAGGGGGTTGCCCCAGAGATCTGGGGTGGGGGGGTGCAGTGTGAGACCCCCCCCGCTAATGACCCTCATTATCTCCACTGCCTAGCACGGAGACATGGACCAAAAGGAGCGTGACGTGATCATGCGTGAATTTCGCTCCGGCTCCAGCCGCGTCCTCATCACCACTGACCTGCTGGTGAGGAGACTTGGGGGGGGCTGTGGGGAAGTGGAGCGGGGGGTGTAGCAGGGAGGGGGCAAACCCTGGGGGGGGTCAGTTATGGGGTGAGTTAATTTGGGGGAAGCTCCCTGCGGGCCAGTGTGAGGGGAATTTGGGGGCTGGGGTTGGGCCTGCCCTGTGCAGGGGCACTGGGGGGGAGCCGGAAAGATCCGGCCCTCTTAAAATGGCTTCTGTCATGTGATGGCAGCCATCTTAGGTGTTGGTGAACCCAGGTGTCCCGGGAGGGGCCCCCCCAAGGAGATTCCCTCTCCGCCCAGCCCCCCCATGCTGTATGCGGAATGTAGCTCCTTGGCACACCAAGGGGGGCTGCTCCGTGCGGCGGGCGCCCCCACCCCCGGGCCTCGGCCGCGGAACGGCAGCCCACAGCCAGGGCACGGGCGCTGCCCCACGTGTGGGGGGGCCGGGGCCTGAATGTTGGTGGTTCTTTCCCCCCACACCCCAGGCCCGTGGCATTGATGTCCAGCAGGTGTCGCTCGTCATCAACTACGACCTGCCCACCAACCGGGAGAACTACATCCACAGGTACACCCCCCCCCCCCCCCCCCCCCGCGGAGCCCCCAGGCGCCCCGCCCCCCCCCCCCCCTGCTCTAACCCACCAGCCCCCTTCCGCTCCCAGAGCCGGGGAGAACCCACGAGTCCCACTCCTCCTAGCCATGAGGCCCCAAGCAAGCCAGGGAGAGAACCCAGACGTCCTGCGCTCACCCCTTCTCCCCTCCCCCCAGGATCGGCCGAGGGGGGCGCTTTGGCCGGAAAGGGGTGGCCATCAACATGGTGACCGAAGAGGACAAACGCACCCTGCGCGACATCGAGACCTTCTACAACACCTCCATCGAGGAGATGCCCTTGAACGTGGCCGACCTCATCTGAGCGCCCCCTGGTGGGCGCCCCGGGCGCTGCCCCCGCGAGCCACTGTCAACGCGCTGGCTCCGGACACTTTTTTTTTAATTATTTTCCCTTTTTTTTTTTTTTTTTTGTTTGTTTTTTGTTCTTTTGAATAAATGTCACTTTTTGGAGGTGAAAAAAATCCAATTTAGTGTTTTGTGGCATTTCTCTTGTCTGTCCACTTCTCGCTCTCATGCCCGGAGGCCAAACCTGGGGGTCCCAGGCTCCGGATCCTCCTTAACTGGAGTGGGGGCATCCTGGCCTGTGGGTCCCCTCCACCTCCCCGTTTCCTTCATGTTCCTAGAACAGGGTGTGGCCAGACTCCTGGGTTCTCGACAGCAAGCACAGAACCCAGGCGTCCTGGCTGTGATGGGCTAGAGAGACGGCGGGGAGAACCCAGGCATTCCCTCCTTTAATTGGGGGCAGGTGGGACCCAGGCATCCTGGCTCCCCCTCCTGTCCCCTGTATCCGCTAATGCGCCCCCTACATCTTCCCTGGGATTTGCCAGGTTCTCTTCCCCGCTCCCGCATAGAACCCAGGAGTCCTGCTGTCCCAGTCCCCGAAGATCTGGCCATCTCTCTTAACGAGCCCCCCCTTCCCCAAAGCTACGCCACCCTGATCCTGGTGCTAAATCGAACTGCTTGCGAGTCGGACCTACCTCAGGGTTGGTAGCTGTTGGGGGAGGGAGCCCCCCAAATCAGTTGCCCCCAAAACATTAAGCTAGAAATTTCTCCCCCCTTCCCCCTGCACTCAATTTTTCCCCCCATCCAAAATTGTGTGCGACCTTTTTACTTTTTTTTGTATAGTATTTATTGAAAGGAAACGAACGTACCAAATAAAAATCTTCTTTCAAAATGGCAGCTGCTTTGGGTTGTGTTTGTAAAGGGGGGTGGCCCCTCCCCCCTGGGGGGGCTCAAGGCAGTTTGGCCAGCCCCCTCCCCCGAATCCCAGTTGGCTGGAGGAGGGGTGTCCTCTCTGTTCCTGCAGTCCTTTGCATGGCTAATCCTCTCCCGAAGGCATTGGTGGGAGGGGTGGGATCCCAGAGTTTTGCATGGCTAATCCAGGTGCATGGGGCGGGATGAGGAGAATCCCTTACCACAGCAGTGCCCTTACGAGCCAATATGGGGGAGTTCACACTGCACGGGGCTGCCTGCTTTTTTTTTTTTTTCTCCTTCCCTGGCCTTGCTGAGTGACACCTGGCATGTAGCAGTCCTCCCTCCTTGCCTCAGTTTCCCCACTGATACATTGAGCTAATACCACCTTTTGCAGGAGGGCCTTGCAATCTACTGACTAGAAGAGCAAGGGGGGGAAATTATAGCGGAGGGGCTGGTGGCAGCGGTGGGATCCCAGCTATTTCCCTGGCAGCTGGACTCATGAGTTGGGGGAAGGATGGTAAAGCTGCTCCTGCCAGTGTCCCCTGCTGCCCAATGGGGCTAGGAGTTCACACTCCTTTGACTCATAGCAGCCCCTGAGGCTTAAAAAAAAAAACAAAAAAAGGGTGATAGGCTCCTAATGTGACTTGGGGAACATGGCTGCTGTCCCCCCAAACAACACAGGAGGAAGGACAGGCTCCCACATACAGCAGGGCCCATTCTTTACTTCCCCGTTTGATAGAGCTTCTCCAGGAGTTCTCCCACTGCTGAAATCTTGTGGCGGGGAGTTCCGCGGGTGAACAACCGGGTTTCCTGTTCTACTAGGCTGTCGCGATACTTCGGCCAGCTGTACCTCCTGCGTCACGGGTAGGAGACCCAGAAGTTCACAGGGCCTGGCCTCTGTCCCCCAGCTTGACAGCATCGAACCCAGGTGTCCGAGCCCAAATCCACTCGGGGAGAGGGCCGATAGAACCCAGGAGTCTGGGCTCCCAGTCCTGCCCTTTTATTTGCCTTGAATCCCCCTGTTGCTACAACAGAGGTTGTAGCAGGACAGCTGGGTCCAGGCCCGGCTCCTCTGTGTGACTATTAGCCCCTGGCCCTCCTTAGCCCTCTCCCTGTTCACTGAGCGTCCTAATGAATCTCTCTTCCCCGTGGCAGCAGGGAGTTCCGCAGGTCTCTCGGGTTAGGCTTTAATAAGCTGGCAATTGGCCGGCAAGGAGATGCAGTGGCAGAGCATTCCCAAGGGCCGAAGGGGAGCACGAGCGGGGCCGTGAGGCTGCCCCCTGGTGGTGATAAGGCATAAGTTGCTTCCCTCCACAGCACCCCCAGTGGGAGACAGGAGCAAAACGGGCTGGGGCCCTGGTGCAGGTCAGAGGTGAGTTGTGCGTGGGGGGGTTGCAGCCAGTTCTGGGGTGGGTTCATCTCCTATCCCGCACTTTGCATCTAAAACCACCTGGGCTCCCCTGAAAGAAAACAAAGGCCAGCATGTCTCTCCCAGCCCCAGGCTACACAGCTGTTACCCCCAGCCCCCACTCCCCGAGCCGGGGAGAGAACCCAGGAGTCCTGGCTCCCACCCACCCTGCTCCAACCCACCAGCCCCCACTCCCCTCCCAGAGCTGGGGAGAGAACCCAGGAGTCCTGGCTCCCAGTCCCCCCTGCTCTAACCCACCAGCCCCCACTGCCCTCCCAGCGCCGGGGAGAGAACCCAGGAGTCCTGGCTCCCAGCCCCCCCAGCTCTAACCCACCAGCCCCTCCAGCTGCAGGCCAACCACGTGAAGGTCACAGGCCTTTCTTGGGGGCTGACTCAGCGTCGTCCACGGATCCTCATGGGGAACTGAAAGCCCTGAATCATCAGCCCCCTCTCCCTCCTGGCCTGCGGTCCGAGGCAGCCGGAGTCCGTCACAGGCACGAGCCCATCTTACGCGGCGTCCCGCCACCCCCAGCCCAGCCCAGCCCCAGGGCCTATGTCATCTCAGCACCTGTAAAACCAGCCGCCCCGCCCCAGAGGTGGCCGCATCTCAGCGCCGGGCGAGGGGTCCCCGGGTAACCTGCCGCCCCGCCCCAGAAGTGGGCGCATCTCAGCCTCGAGGACTCGTTATCTGTGCGTGTTGTTGGAGCTGGGAGGCGGGTGCGCGACCTTGGAAAGGGAACTGGTTTCGTTTCCTCCAGTTTATCAGTGAAGCGCAGGACAGGACAAGAGGGAGGCACGGAGCGAGGGACGGACCCGGGGACGGACGGACAATCCAGCAGCCTCTCCAGCATGGGGACCCTGGGGACCCTGTCCCTGCTGCTCTGCCTGGCAGGTAGGTGCTGCTCTTTTCTACAGGTGGTATCTCTCTAACCCACCGCACCCCACTCCCCTCCCAGAGCCGGGGAGAGAACCCAGGAGTCCTGGCTCCCAGCCCCCCCTGCTCTAACCCACCAGCCCCCACTCCCCTCCCAGAGCCGGGGAGAGAACCCAGGAGTCCTGGCTCCCAGCCGCCGCCAACTTCCATTTTACTTTGTTCACCTGTGCGATAAAGTCTGTTTTGCTCCGGGGTCATTTTTAAACAATGTTGGTTTTCCGCAAAGATTTGGGTGGGAAAAGGGGCATTTCCTGCCTGGTCGTCACTCACCCAAGCTGAACGAGTTGGTGGAGGCGGCTAAACGGAGGGGGGTGGGGGAGCTAAGCTCCCTTCCCCCGCCCCCAGCCCCCCGAAAATTGAATTTCCATGTTATTGTTTTCAGCAGTCAGCAGAAAACCGGCCGGGCATTTGGGGTTTGCTTGAGATCTTGGTGGGGAACCAAATATTGCCCCTCCCACATTTGGCACAGAAAAGACATGAAATTTGGACGATTCGGGTGGGGGGCACAAAGCCTCCAAAAATGTCCCAGCAGAGAGGAGATTTGTATTTATTTTTGTATCGAACCAAAGGTTAACGTTACGCAATTCTGACAGCGGAAATATTTTAAGATTTATAGTGCTCCGACTTGGCCACGAAAGCCTGAATTTGGGGTGGAAAAAAATGGGATTTTTTCTCTTTCCCCATCAGTCCCCCCCCCCCCCCAAAAAAAACAAGGACAATGTTCCTTTTCCCTGAAATGTTGGGTGAAAAATAAGCAAGAAAACCTACTTGATTTCAAAACGTGGATTTCAAAACACACATAAATCCATCATCCGCTAACAGATGTAACCCCACCCACCGTGTCTCGTGAATATCCCGGCAGCCAACAAGGTTATTTCAACATTTTCAGACCATCGCAATCTGCGGAATTGTCCTCAAAGTCCATTTTTTTGGTCCCGAAGAGAATGTTAAGCGGCGTTAACTCTGAAACCTACCGAGGGCACAATTGGAAACGAGCCACCAACACTGCTGCTACATGAAACATACCATCAGAGTGGGTGGCTGGACAACAAGGCAGGAAGGATTTTGCGGGGAGCTGGGGTAGGGGCTTTGCCCCCACCTTTCTACCCCACAGGACCTATATTCTTAAATGGGGTGTTAACTCTGATGGTACATTTCATGTAGCAGCTGGTGTCAGCTGAGAGAGGATCACTTAGGGGGCAGGATTTGAGGGCACAATGTAATTGTGGGGCCCGCATCCTTTGGAATATGGAGGATCGAACCTGGATTTTTCGGGGGTGTTAATTCTGGACCCTAATGGTGGCAAAATGACTTGGTTCCCTAAAGAAGGCGAGTTAAAAGATTGCGCCCAACATGGGCGTGGTGGGCAAGGGGGCAGACAGAGGGCAGAGGCTGTGGGAGGAGAGAAATTAGCAGCCGGGTTAGCAACGTGTGTGTTTACTCTGGACCCTAATGATGGCCACAGTAACACAACTAGCCATGGGAGGTGTATTCGTGCCCTGTATCTACTTTGGAGGTCTAATTGTACCTCCCCACCATCTTCCTCACCCCTCTAGTTTGCATCTCCGCCCTGCCTGGCGAGGGGGCCCAGGAACTCACCACGCCCGGCTCCGGGATCGAGGCCCCGTGTGACAGCGACGGCTGCCCCCGCCATAAGAAATCGGCCACCCTCGTGCCATCTTTCACCAAAACAACCGCCACCACCACCACGACCCACCGCACGAAGCCCCCCACCACGACCCACCCGGCCAATCACACCACGACCCACCACACGACGCCCCCCACCACGGCCCACCTGACCAACCACACCACGGCCCACCCGGCCAATCACACCACGTCCCACCCGACCAATCACACCACGTCCCACCCAGCCAACCACACCACATCCCACCCGGCCAATCACACCACATCCCACCCGACCAACCACACCACCGTGCACACGACCCCCCACCTCACCACGGCAGGCCCACCGGGGCCCCCGGATGTGGGGGTCGGGAACTACTCGGTGCGGAATGGATCGGACGTCTGCCTCCGGGTGCAGTCGGGCCTCCAGCTCTGGGTCCGATATGAGAACGGCTCCAAAGCGCAGGTATGGGAAAAGGGAGGCTAGTGGTTAGAGCAGGGGGGGCTGGGAGCCAGGTCTCCTGGCTTTTCTCCCCGGCTCTGGGAGGGGAGTGGGGGCTGGTGGTTAGAGCAGGGGGGCCTGGGAGCCAGGACTCCTGGGTTCTCTCCCCAGGACTCTTGGGGTTCGGGGATGAAGGTGATACCAGGTCACCCAACTTCTTTCTCTCTTCCAGCTCTGGGGAGCTTTTGCCGTCCAGCCGAACCACACCAAGGTGTCGGGAAAATGCTCCGACGAGTCAGCCACCATGGAGCTCACCTTCGCTCAGGGCTTCCTGCACTTCACCTTCGTAAAGGTACCGACCGGGGGGGCTGTGGGGCAGGGAGCGGGGCGGGGGTTGTATAAACAGCTGCTGTGCTGCACCCCAGAGGTGGCTGCATCACCGTGCTGGGCCAACGTTGAGGGTCCAAACGTCTCCTGTCCCTTGTGTCTCCCCAGAATAAAACCCAGAACTCCGTCTACCTGCACGAGGTCCGAGCCAACCTGAGCATCCAGTTCCCTGGGGCCACACGTGAGAACCGGGGGTCGAGGCTGTGGGGGGGAAGGTTGGGAGGAGTTGGGGGAAAAGTTTAGGGCAATGGAGCAAGTTCAGGGTCTCGGGGTGACATTGGGAGTTCAGGGTTGACTTCAGAGGTGCCTTTGAGGGGTTGGGGTGACTTTTGGGGGCTCGGGGGTGATTTTGGGAGTTCAGGGGGTCGGGGGTAACTTTGGGGATTTGGGGGAGTCAAGGTGACTGGGCGTCAGGGTGACTGGGTATTTGGGGTGACTTTGAGGGGTTAGGGTGACTTTTGGGGGGTTGGAGGTGACTTTGGGAGTTCAGGGGAGTCAGGGTTATTGGGCGTTCGGGGTGACTTTGAGGGGTTGGGGTGATGGGGGTCAGGGTGACTTTGAGGGTTTAGGGTGATGGAGAGGTCGGAGTGACTTTGAGGAGTGGGGTGACTTTGGGGGATCAGGGGGTTGGGGTGCATTTGGGGAGTCGGACGGCTTCGAGGTGACTTTGGGGGGTCGGGGGTGATTTTGAGGAGTCGGGGTGACTTTGAGGAGTTCGGGTGACTTTGGGAGGTCTAGGGGGTTGGGGTGACTGGGGATTTCGGTTGACTTTGAGGAGTCAGGGTGACTTTGAGGAGTTGGGGTGACTTTGGGGGATCGGAGGGTTTGTGGTGACTGGGGGTTTGGGGTGACTTTGGGGGGCTCGGGGTGCCTTTCAGGGAAGGTTCGTGGCTCGTGGTCGGTGAGGTGGGTGATTTGGGGGGCTGGCTCTGATCTCTGCCCCCCTTGCCGCCCCAGAGAGGCAGTTCACGGTGCAGAACGCCAGCCTGCGAGAGTTCGAAGCCCGGCTGGGGCACTCGTACCAGTGCCAGAACCGCAGCCTGGCGCTGGGCCCGGCCTTCCATCTTGACGCCCTGCACGAGCGGATCCAGGCCTTCGCCCTGCCCGGGGGCGGCTTCGGGGAAGGTACCGGCCCCCCTCGGCCCCAGATCTGCCCCCCACAGTCTCCCTCCTGGCCCCCCATTCCTGCCCCTTCACAGCCCCACGCTCAGCTCCCTCTCCCAACCCACATCCCCTCTGCTGCCCCATAAACCTCTCTCCCCCTGCCCCCCCATTTCCCCCTATCTGAGCCCTGCCCTGCCCCATAGCCCTCTTATCTCCCCCTGCCCCCCACCTCCCAGCATAGCCCCCCCCGGTCTCACCCCCTGCCCCTCCTCTCTTGCAGCCGAGCTGTGCCCAGAGGAGCGGCACAGCGCGCTAGTGCCCATCATCATCGGGGTGGTTCTGCTGGTCCTGATCCTGATCATCGTCATCGCCTACTTGGTGGGCCGGCGCAGGGCCCGGGGCGGCTACCAGACCCTCTGAGGGGCCGGGACACTGGGGGGAAGGAGGGGAGAATGGGGCCTGTCCCCTCTAGGGGGCACCGGCTCCCACCCGGCCCCAGGGCGGGGACTGGCTGGCTCGGGGGTGGGGGCAGGGAACGGGGTCAGAGATCCATGTATTTTATTTTACTGATTAAATAAATTTGGGGTTGTTAGTAAATACGAGGACGGCTCAGTTACTGTCCGTGCACCGGCTCTTGGCAGCATCCCAATGGGGTTACCCGCCCCGCCCCGCAAAAAACAGCCCCCCCCATAACAATTCTGTTCAATAATAAATGGGGATTATGTCTCCTGGTCTTAAGGAGATGCAGCCACCTCTGGGGC